TTTCCCCCAGAGATTACTCATAAATGACTCCTACAAGACTGAAGAGTATTATAGAGTGAACTGCATCCCAGGATTCTCTCCTGGATCCTATTTCATTTAACATTTGTATTAATGACTCATGAAGAAATTGAGACGATGACTGTCAATTTGGTGATATAAAATCAAAAGAGGCTAACTCTTTAGAGGATAAAGAGAAGATTCTATCTAGACAAGCTTGAACATTGGAATGAAATGAACAGGATGAAACTTAATAGGTAAAGATAGGGGGGATCCCACCTGACAGTAGTATATGTGAACAGGATCTGGGTATTTCACTGAATGGCAAGTTGAATATGAGCCAATCAAGTGACAGAACTTCTGAAAAAGCATATGCTATGTGGGGATGTATCAGCATACAGAATGTGATGACCCAGGACACAGCACAAAGGCAACACAGTCAAATAAGCAAGAAATGTTCTTTTAACTTTGCCCCCAATGTCCAGGTTACCTTTGGCTGGAGAAAAGACTCTCCTAAGAACAGTCTTGAAGTGGAGGAAATTCAGTCCGAAAACAGAGTACATACAAACTGTAAATAAAAATCCACACAAACCACGCTGCAGTAATTAACTTGACAGGGCAGAAGCAATTGCAGACTTGAAAGTTGGGAAGACGCCAGGAACCCAGATAAACCTCGATGATACCAGATAATTCACGATTTGCTCCCAACAACTTTGCTGTGCGCAGCTTCCCTTTTTAAACACTGTGTTCCCAGCTGCAGCTAATGAAGGGAATCAGGGCCCTTTCCTCCCCCCGTAAGCCACACAACTCACATTGTTCCCTTCTCTGTTCCTCCCTGCGTGCCCTAGGATGAAGACGGAGTGGGCCTGGGTCTTCCTCCAAATTCCCTCTCCCTTGCTCTACCTCTCCCTTGCTCTGCCCAGCCGGCCTTTGCCCTTCCCCAGTTTCTTCCACAGCCAATGGAGCCACACTCCCACTCCCTGTCAGCTGCTCAGCCTCCCCCTCTGAATCAGATTCCGACAGGGGCACGACACAGAAAACCAGGGAGATGATCTTGAAACAAGTATTAAGAAACTGTTATGTAAATAAAGAAACAGAAACATTCCTTAAGTCCTAGGATGGGAGATACAGGTAGTCCTCGACATGATCAAAATTAACACCAAAATTTCCATTGATAAGACAGTTGTTAATGTTGACCAATTTTACAACCTTTCTTGCCACAGTTGTTAAGTGAATCACTGCAGTTAAGTTAATAATATGACTGTTAAATGAATCTGACTCCCCCATTGATTTTGCTTGTCAAAAAGTCACAAAAGATGATCACATGAACCTGGGATATTGCAACTGTTATAAATGCATGCCAGTTGCCAAGCATCCAAATTTTGATCATGTGACCACGTGAATGGTGCAACAGTCATGTGAAAAATGGTCACAAGTTGCTATTTTCAAATGATCACTAAACAAATGGTTGTAAGTCAAGGACTACCTGTATTGGTAAGAGAGAAGTTCCCTGAAGATATGCTCCAGCATTAGTCTGAAAGCTCAGAACACTAAACCTCTGTTCCTAGTGACCAACCCAGATTGGATCCTGCAACATCCTGAGACACATATATTTGCCTTCATTTGTATCTCAATAAAGTATAATATTGGTCTTTATGTAGAGTGTGTTTCAAGATCTGGTCTACCCTGAAGGGCTGATATAATAGAAGCTTAGAGTCCTGATTATGAGAAATAACTGCCCCATTCTGTCTTGGTCAGGGCTGTCATTAAATACTGTGTCCAGTTTTATTTTTAAAAGGACATTGACAAGCTACAATAAGTTGAGAGAAGGGTTGTCAAGATGGTGATAAGACAAGGTACCAAGTCCTGTGAGGAACAGTTAAAATAATTATGTTTATTCAGCCTGCAGGAGACAAGATTGACAGAAATAAAATTGATAGCAGTCTTCAGATGGTTGTACAAAAGAAACAATGGGGATTGTTCACTGTTGCCTTTGAGAAGAGAACTAGAATTGATTATAGAAAAGAAGAATTAGATTTATTAAGAGGCATTGTTTAACAACAGGAGCTGTCAGTCACTGGAATAAGTTGCCTCAAGTGATATATTGTTTTCAAAGGATAGATAGTCTTCAAACAAAGGCTGGATAGATAGACCTACTTCAAAAAGAGGATTGGATTACCTTTGAGGTCCCTTCCAAATTCTCAGATTCTGTGATAACTCTGTAGCATCAATCTCTCTCTCTCAATCCATCCATCCATTCTAAGAGGGGATTATTTAATTATAAACCCATGTTTTTGTTTTCAGAAATAAAATGTTCATTCAAAACAGGAAACTTCATTTAACAATTGGTTTATGTAAGCTGTTGATTTTAAACCAACAAGATTTTCAATCTGTCAAATGTTGGCATATTTAAGAGAATTGTTTATTTAAACAGATGACTAATATGATAGTTCAAAATCTACTCAGTTTTAAAAGTGGTTTGTAATACAGCAGTTTAGTTTCCATTGTCTGCATGGATGAGATCCACATCGATCTTCAAAAATTTGGTACTTACCCTGGTGGATTCACAAGGAGACTGCAGGTAAAACAAAAATTCCACAATTGTGCAGGCATTACCCAAGATGCTGAGGAACAGAAACATTTTACATTTACAAAATATAACAAAGACATTTATACCAGCTGTAAATACTGAATTCTTTAGACTGCCTGAAATTGCAGACTACACCGAACACAGCAGAGAACTTTTTAATCAGAATAACTTCACAATCGAATAGTGGACTTCAAGACCTTAAAGAATCTTAATTAGTGTATCTTTGTTGAAGTACATTAACATGACTATTCAAGAATCAATAGAAAAAAATTAAAATTATGACAGTCTTTCTTGGGAAGAAAGGCAATTTTATTAGTTTCAATGAGGAGTGATGAAGCAGCATGGCAAACATTTTTTTCAAATTCATTTATGATTTATATTATAGAAAACAATTTCTCAGGAAAAATTATCCTATCATCTAATGAAGCTTTTTGAGTTTGTTGCCAAGTAAATAAAAATGTCTGCATAAGTGGGTTGTCCTAGAGCATTACTTGTCACAGTTAGTACTATGATCACTTTCACAAAAGTTATCGGATACCTGATGATTCCTTGTTTACTTATGCTCAATTACATTATTAAAAAATACTACTTTTCTTCCACCTTCCTCTACCCTCTGATTCTCTTCCTCCAGTTTATATTGTTTTTCCAGTGAAGTCTTGAGTGTGAATAGATCCATTGGGGAGGGGGGGTTTGAGGGAAAGCAACAGCTAAATCACAATTTCATCCAGTAATGGATTTAAAAATATGGAGAAACAGACTTGACACCCTTAGACAACTTTTCCCTGGGCGAGCTAATGTTTAGGCTTATAGATGCAGCCTATAACTATTGCTTGGAATATGTAACTAAAAAGGGAACCACCATGTTCAAAAACAGCATATACAGGTAGTCCTCGACTTACAACTTTCATTTAGTGACTGTTCGAAATTACAATACTGAAAAAAATGACTTAAGACCATTTTTCACACTTAGGACCATTGCAGCATCCCTGTGGTCACATGATCAAAATTCAGATCCTTGGCAACCAGTTCATATTTATGATAGTTGCAGTGTCATGGAGTCATGTGATCACTTTGTGCAACCTTCTGACAGTAGACAAGCAAAGTCAATGGGGGAAGCCAGAACACAACCGTGTTACTAACTTAACACCTGCAGTGATTCATTTAACAACTGCAACAAGAAAGGTCGTAAAGTGGACCAAATTTCACTTAACTGTCTTACTTCACAACTAACATTTTGGGGTCAATTGTGGTCATCAGTTGATGACTACCTGCATTTGTCTCTTATTAGAACAACAAATTATCATCATGAAGGGAGGTCCATGACATCTTTGATCTTTTTCAATTGCTTAGAAAATGGTGAGAATTAATATTGAAATGAACAGCTATCAGTAACAAAGTTCAGCAGAGAAGGGCATACACTACTGAAAACATGTTGTCCCCTACAACTCTGTGTAAAAGTTTGGAATATATTTAAGGCAAGTTAAATATTAATAATTAACTTAAAATATGTTGCCTGAACTGGATGTTTCCATAAGCCATTGAATAAGGAACATTTCTAATACAGACGTATTTATGTTCACCAGCAACATTTTACCTCCGATACATTAACAGCAGCCATCTTAAGCATGCCTACTCAGAAGTAAGAGCCTTATTTTCCCCTCAACTTCCAGATTAGTGTGTACAGCAATCCTAAACTACTCCAAACATCTCTTCTCTGGTGTATAAAGTCAGTTTCATCCCCTATTGATGTCTTGCGTGTTGGTTGTGTGAAATGTCCTCCAACAGACCAGGCAACAGACCTTACTTACCTAGTCAGTCTGAAAGGCAAAAGTTGCTTCAGGTGAAGTTTTCTGCATATTTAATTCGGAATGGAGGACGAGGAGGGATGAAAGGCAAGGGAGGGGGAAGATAAAGCCCCTTCCCCCTTCCCCAGTGTATCCCTCAGCAATATGCTTAAAGCCCTCAGTGGCAGGTAAATGTAATTCACGTCCAGGTATGCTCAACCACCCCGCTTTGCACCCGAGGTGAGAGGGGTTACACTCTTGCCATTTTCTCTGGGATCAGAAGAGCCGGGACAGAAAGAGACGCCGGGTTCATAGCCCGGGAGTGACAGGCAAAGAGAGCTCCCCAATCCCCCTCCGGTCCAGGTGGTCGAGGAAAGCAGGTGGAGCGGAGGGGAGGACGATGACTAAAGGGGAGCCAGTGAGACGGAGATTTAGAGAAGCGCGCTTGACAGCCCAGAGCCGGCTTGGCTGTATCTCTTGTCTCGCCTCCGCCTGGGACCGCCGAGGATGGAGCCGCCGGCTGCTCGCGTGCGTCAGCTGAAGTTTCCCTCGCTCCGGTTTGAACTACCCGCCTTTCCTAACTGTAGTAACTCCCCCCGCCCCGCTAGCTCCCAAGGAGGGAGGCTGGATAACCCTCAGGCGCACGAGCGTCGCTGTTGGGCGAAAGGAAAGAGGAAGAGCGGGCGATAAGCTGCAAGCTGCCCCGAGGTTAATTGAGCGGCTGGATAAAGCTAGGCGGCGGAGGGACTTTTTGCGAAGGGCAGTTAAACCAGCAGGAAGGCTGGTTTCCGTGTGTGTGTGTGTGTGTGTTTTACACTATGTAATAAAAATCTGTTTGTTTAGTACTGAAGCGGAGTACCTGCTCCTCGCCATCGCAATTCACACTGAAGTCGATTGGAATCCTCATCCACTCTGTATGGAAAAGGTCTCGTTTCACAATGTTCCAAAAGAATTCGCAATGTGTTAAATTGACAAGAGAATGAAAGGTCTGGTCACACGGCTTTTTTTAAAGACACTTAAGACAAGCCCCATGCGGTCTCCCTTCTCCCAGTTTAGAGCTGGGAATGAATACTTACATTAATTAATTGTACAAACTGGTTGTAAAAGTAGTATGCGCAACACATGCTTAATTGTAGCCCTTTGACTCACGGTGTATTCACCCACTTTTCTGAATATCAAGGATATATTGAACCAGAAATGAACAAAGATATGTTTGCTAACCTGCTAGGCTAAAATGTAGTTAGGTAAAGTTCAGTAAGTCATGTGAAAATACCCCTAAGAACACCTTCTTCTATGAATAGAATACTTATTACTCTGAATGTAGGTGGATTTAGGCATTATAAAGCCCAGGACTAGAGATATTTACTAAACATGTTTGTGGTATTCTTCAGAGCTTGTACAGCTTTAGGAAGGACAATATATTAATCTGGAAAAATTTTTTTCCTTATATAACATTTTCCTTACTTATATAACAATGGAAGCACAACTTCCACCTTACATAATTTGTTTGGTTTGGGTTAAATAATGTGAACCTAGTCATTGTGGCTTGTAGACTGTGGCCAGCTATTTTTTTTAAATAAACTTTGGTTAAAGAAAGAGTTTTTAATATGTGAATTTAATCACAGTATTTTCAAATATAGTCATTCAAACTTAAGAGTTTGTCCCATTGAGTTCAATGAATGTATTCATAGTCCAGTGCTGTGACTTGATGAGACTTGCCCATATTACTAGTGAGGAAAAGCATTTTGCAGTTCAGATCCTTTCTTTTGAAACCAACATGTAGCTATAATAAATACTATTCAGATATAGGTGTTGGTATTAGAAGCTGTTCTAAATATATTCTGAATCTTCCAGCTGCCTGAGTTCCTTTCAGGACCTTTTTAAACATTTTGCTTTCATTGTATACTGGGGGGGGGGGGGAGAAATCTCTCCCAGCCCTCGTTTACTAAACCGAATTAGTAATATATGTACATTCATAAAACGTTATATAATTACATCAAGAATAACTCTATTTATGCAACCGAAATCCCCTGCATCATAGCTCTACATCGCTTTCTCGCGAAGGCGACGGAATTTTAATTGATTACGTCATCAACGTGCGCCACAGAGTCGTGCGTGTGAGATACCTCCTATAAAGGGAAGAGGCGGTCATAATAGTTTTATTTTGAAGAAACCGCTTCGTTTGAACAGTTCTACTCCGATTGTATTTTGTCCCTTCCGGACATTTTTCCTCAATTCACATTTCCTTTTGACGCTCGGAGTAAAACCTCATAGATCAAGCCACGACCGGTAAGTCATGCGATGGGCTAATTTGCATTTGCGTTGTTTCCAACACAATGCCTTAACGAGCTCTTTTGTATCATTTTCTTTTTAATTTTGTTCAACTGAAATTGATTTGTGAAAGGAAAATTATGTAACCTCAACGTTCTGGCTTTCTTTTACAACAGAATATGGAAACTGAAGAAGATGCTCCCCCTCCAAAGCAGCAACCTATGATATACATCTGCGGAGGTTAATGCCATAGCACACAGAGAATACAGTTGTTAAAAGGGACAGGGTTTGGGGAGGGGTTAACAAGACTTTCTTGTTAAAAGTGTTATGTTTTTCCCTATTGATTTGAGTCCTAATTTTTTTAAAGCATGAACCTTAAGAGTACTATAGATTTAAATAGAATGTGTGTTAGTTAAAAATCACTAGTTAATTTTCTAGAGTTTCCATGCTAGTGCAGTTTTTCAGCATTCTGAAGGAGGAGGAAAGAAGCTAGATACAGCTACTATGGGTTTCCTCCTCCCTGTAATTATACTGTGAAAAAGAATATGAGATGCCATTCATAATCTAATAGAACTTATTTTACTGGGAGAGGAGTTCTTTTTAGACATAGATATAGATACACACACACATATATATATTCATTCACTGAAAAGTAGTCAGAAAGTTGGTTAGCAAATTTTACTTGTTTCTAATAAAATCTGTGTTTTGTTTTGTATGTCTTAATGCTTAGTTTCATTTCATTTTTCATTTTGTTTATTTTATCTTATTGTCATTATTTTCAGATTGCCACAAAGAAAATGAGATAAAAGCAAGAGATCCTATCAGATGCAGAGAGTGTGGTTACAGAATAATGTATAAGAAAAGAACAAAAAGATGTATCCTTATACTTGAGCATCTTAATTTGTATTTTTTATCTCTTCTAGTATCTAATTCTATGATGTCATTTTATGCTTACACAGTGATTTGCCAATGAGTCTGTTTTAGTTCATACAGGTAGTCCTCAATTTGCGACCACAATTGAGCCCAAAATTTCTGTTACTAAAAGTTGTTAAGTGAATTTCCCATTTTACGACCTTTCTTGCCATAGTTGTTTAAATGAATCACTGCAGTTGCTAAGTTAGTAACAAAATTGTTAAGTGAATCTGGCTTCCCCCTTGACTTTGCCTCACAGAAATTTACAAAAGATGATAACTTGACCCTGGGACACTGCACCCACCCATCATAAATATAAGTCTGTTGTCAAGCCTCTAAATTTTGATTATGGGTTGCTGCAGTGGTCATGAGTTGTAAAAAACAATCATAAATCACTTTTTTCAATGCTACTGTAACTTTGAACAGTCACTAAACAAACTGCGGTAAGTCTAGGATTACCTGTATATTACTTAGATGAAGCATACTGTAAAATTGGGATGGTATTAAAAGCTCCTTAAGATCTATAAAATAGAATCCCACAGTTTACTATTACAGTATTGATATGCAAATATTGGATCTGATTTGGAAGTACTTTAAAGCTGGCTTGTCACAGCTTAAAAGTATATAGCACAACACATTGTAAGGTATTTTCTCAAGTGACATTGTGTAACTAGTGAAAGCCTCTGTCACACTTAATTGTGCCAGCATTTGCTGTCCCAATTTAATGTTTCCTTTCATAACATTTTAAAATCAATTTATTTTCAGGCTTCTAGCCACCTAAAGAGGAGTACATTCAAAACAGTCTGGGTAGGGAGTTTTTACATGCAGCACACCCATTTTTCCTCATTACAGTGCCTGAAAATTCTAACAGATGTTGACCTGGGCTTTTTATTCATAATAATTGTAGATAGCACAGTTGTGAGATTCTGGTAGAAAAGAGAAACAACAGATTAAAACAACTTAATAAATATACCACACAGTGGTTTTTGTTCAAAAATACAATGGAATAAAAATATTTTAACTACTTTGCAGAATGGAAGGTTTCTACATATACCTCCAGGGGAATTGGATTTCACAATATTGGGCCACTGTCTCATCCAAGCCCTATGTACTTATGGAGTGGAAACTTTCAGAAAGCCTTTTGAGATAGTCTGTAGGGGCAGAATCAAGTTTAATAGTTTTTAGATCTGATTTAGAAAATCTTTGATTATTTACCAGTTTTATCTGTCAGTGAAAAAGAGCAATAGGAAGGATTATAAGTAAAATAGAATGCATGGGTAGGCCTCCAGTTAGGAATTAATTTTTGAACTATGAGAAAATATACATGTGACGGAAGGTCAGCTAAGGGACAACTGCTCTTATTTATATATTGCAAATTATAAAATTATTTGTCTAATTTTTATTATAGTTGCCATTTTTCATACATTCCAATCAATCATTTCTTTAACTGTGTCATAGTGGTTGTATTTGATGCCCGATGAAGAGAACCGAAGATGCATCTAATTGATCTGAATTCATGTCCATGTTGTGATTTTATTTAAGCAAATACTCCAATTTTGATTCTAGCAATAAAATTTTATTCAAGCATTTTGTTGACTCTGTTTCTAGAAGCAAAATTTGAATGGAATTAAACCTTACATGTTAGTGGGTAATTGTATTACCTAATGTAAATTGTACTATCTAAAATTACCAAATTGTGTTGGTTTGGAATGAAATAGGGAAGGTTTGGAGGAATGAAGTAGTTCAGGCTTAGATCGTAAAACAATCTTCCAGTTTTAAGCGTTAAACTCACTAATTGATGCCCAATCATTTACTTTTATTTATCTCACTGACTAGATACAAATATAACAATATATGCCCCAAACTTAGTCCCCACCCCCCAGTGTTCCAGTGTTGGGGAAAATATTATACAAAGTACAGAAAAAGTAATATATTAGTTTAATATGTATACATGCCCTTTCTTTGATTTCTTGGAAAATGAAGGCTAAAATGACAAGGATTTTAAAAGTGAGAACCCCTTCAGACATTTGGCTTGATTTTTATTTTTTTAATAATAACAGTTCCCTCCCTTACTTGTAACTTTATTGAAGCTTTAAATATTTACATTAGTTTCAGAATGGACAATACGTGTTGAAAGAAATTGGGTCTGATATGTCATACTTTTCCAATAAGCAAATGGAAGAATTCTAAATCTAATTTTTCATCTGCTTTGTATTACATTTATATGAAACCTGGTTATCTTTCTTGGATCTACTAAGGACAACAAGGCTCTCCAAGCTATGTTTTGTTCAGCTGAATGACGTAATTTGCTGGTGAGCTTTTTTTTTTTTTTTTTTTCATGCTCCCTTCCTTTGCTAAGCTGCTTTGCGTGAAAAGAGAAACGGAAAAGAGTGTAAGCTCGGTAAAATATTCAATCGATTCCTTCTGTATGAGATGCCCTTCAAGTGATTTTAAATAGGGGGCGGGTTCTTTCCCACGCGGCGTCTCTCCCAGCGTCTCCATAGTGACCGTCCAACGACGCCACTCCCCCCCTCGACCTAAGGAGGGTTTCCACGCATGCTCCTCAGGTACTGAATCTCACGCCAAGGGGGAAATCTGGCAGTCGAGTTGACCAACCGGCGGCGCTTCTGCCAGGTGTGAGCGCTAATTGGCTACTGACGGCAGGTGGACGCTCATCTCGCAGCATCCCTTGTGGGATAGGGCAGTTGGGAAGCCGTGGAGTGGGGGAAAGTGCTCGGCTTTCATTGAAACAGGTAACCGTCCATGGTGCGAGAAAGGAAAAGGGGTGGCATGCAGAGGAACTGGGGAGAACGAGAAAGATTCCGGGGTGGGGGGGATATCAATGGGAACAATTGGACGATGGCCGAGGAGAGGGGCTTCCCGTGAGCGCCTTAAACACGGATTTCGTTTGGGAAGCAGCAGGGAAAGGTGGAGGAAAGGCTGAGAGGCAATACCAGTCCATTCATTTCCATCTACCTTTTCTTCAGTGCCTTGGATTTATTTATTTATTTGGTTTGTCAATTGCTTACAAGATAATAGGTATAAGTAAAAACATAGTTATGAATACATGGATACATATAAGAAAAATAAAAATAAATAAAAGAAACAATAGGACAGGGGCGGTAGGCACGTTGGTGCGCTTATGCACGCCCCCTACAGACCTCTCAGGAAAGGGGTGAGGTCAATAGACAATCTAAGATTAAAGTTTTTGGGGTTTGGGGAAGAAACCACAGAATCAGAGTATTCCAGACATTGACCACTCTGTTGCTGAAGTCATGTTTCCTGCAATCAAGTTTGGTGCGATTAACCTTGAGTTTGTATCTATTGTTTGCTCTTGTATTGTTATGGTTGATCCTAGATGTAAGTTGAAACAACTCCTAGCATCTCTTGATATTGTTGGGAGTGGTAATTGAGGGGGAGGGAAGCAAAGAGGCTTCATTTTGCTTTCGTTTAAAGTACCCTACAGCAGTGTTTTTCAAACTCAGCACCTTTGAGATGGGTGGACTTCAACTCCCAGAATTCTCCAGCCAGCATAATTCAGTACAATGCTAGCTGGGGATTTCTGGGAGTTGAAGTTCACCCATCTCAAAGTTGCCAAGTTTGAAAAGATACAGCTCTAGACAGATTCCTACAGGTACCTGGATCTACAGGTAGTCTGGATCTCACAGGAGAAGATTGGTGCTCCTGTTATGGCATAGGGTACCAAATCAGTTTATTTTCTGAATTCACTCTCAAGTGTAGGAATTCCTTAGACAAAGGAGCTTAGTGCAGCTTTGACAAGTTAGATCAGCATTTCTTAATCTTTTTTTTTTTACTCAGAACTTTCCCACTTTAAAAATGATGAAGAGCCTCCAACAAACTTTTGCTTATATGGGTTATATTATCAATATCATTAAAATAGACATCATTTGATAAGATTTTAATATAGTAGTTTCATAGGATTTAAATTCTGCCAAATAATTTCAATTTCACAGTTTTGATGAACTGCTAAGTATCTTTGATCCACATTTTATGAAACAGTGGATTAGGATATACTGTGCAAAATCCTAGGAAGCCATATTTTTCTGCTTAGTACACAGCAACTGTTGCTATCATTTGAAAAAAGGCTGCCATATCATTTTTGAACAATAGAGGGCATTTACAAGAACTGCCTTCTGAACTAAAATTGTGCTTTGCTGCTGTTCTTTATACATTTCTCCTGTTTTCTTTGTGTGTCTTTAGAGTTCAGTCACAAAAAAATAGTCTCACCTGTTTTCCTTGAATGGTAAATGGTTATTTATGATTGATCTCATCTATTGGCAGCATTTTTGTGAGACCATCAAGAACATGGTCTCAAATTTAGAGGAAACTAACCAGGTTTATAGTATTTTATTTTATAAATTGGGCAATTTCATAAATAATTTTGAGAAAATATATTGCAAATAATTAAATTCTACCTCTGTAGCTATAAGTGCTGGTCAAATGTCATCCTGGTTGGGCCATGAAACGACAAAAACATACCAAATTCCTATTGACCATCTGGACTACAAATTCATTGAAAAATGCACTGATGTTAAGTATTTAGAAAAGATTCTCAAGATATTAAGGTGAGTATTTAAATGATTTTTTTTATTATAGTAAAAGTAGATGAATAAAATGAACTGATGATCCTTATAATGAACACTTTACCTTTAAGAAGACCATCATTTATTTTTGAAGTTTATATAAAAACATATAACAATGTAACAATTTATAATTAAAATTGTATCTGCCATTAAAATGATACATTCTTCCTAAACTCATTTGTGGTAGTAAGAACATTTAGATTTCTACAAGTCTTATTTTTATGTAGTGTAGGTAGAAGCTCTGTCTGGTTAACTTAAAAAAGTAAAGGAAAATGAACTATAGTAAAAGTAATTGGCAATATATATTATAATAAATCAAATAATAATTCACTCTAGATAGGTTTGTGTGTGTTAAGAGTGGCGATGTTATAGAAACTTCCCAAATTGAGGGTTTTTATTCATGATTGGGAGGAAAGGATAAATACATCATGCTGTTATTGGTATTTATGCTTTAATTATTGGAATATGAATGTGTTCAGTTATCTAATATCCTATTTATCTTAAGGTCGGGTGAAGAGGGATTTTTCCCTGAACTTATTTTATTTTGTGAAAACCGCATTGAGTCTCTGGCTCCAAATAGCAGACTTCTTCGAAAAGAAAAACCTGTAGCCAATGCATCTAATTTTACTACTGAAGAATGGAAAAAAATAAATGATGACTTGACGGTAATTCAAAATTTCAATCTGTAATTTGAGAATTTTTATTTAGGGTTTCATCTAGTCCCCTGTTCAATCCCCACCCCAACACCTTGTTCTCCTCAGAGGGCCACCTTCAGCAGACTAAATTCATCCCCTTAATGAATTACAAAACTTTTAATAACTCTTGGTGTTAAATTTTAAGATTATTGGTCAAATAATCTTTGTCTGAGATCCTGCTTCTTATGAGATATAGGTATATTACATTGCAAATTCTATATTAGCCAGGGGTTATTAGAATTGTAGTCTAGAATAGTTAAAAAGTGTATAGAGAATATCATCTATATATAGGCATGCACACAAGCTCCGTATTGACTTGGTTTATGTTCTTATTTTCTCTCTTGCTGAAATTGCAGTAAAAATATTAGTAAGTCATTAATGCATCTATAAAAATGTATTGTAACCTAGAAATTTTAGGCTGCAGATCTTAAATATAGCAAGTCAAAGTTATCTGTTTGTTTTAGAGCTGGATTACAGAAATGAAAGAAGATGAGTATAAAACGCGATATGCTACAACTGAAGTTTTCAAGGAAAATGTGGAAAATTTACCACCAATTCGTAGTTCAGAGAACCATCTTTCCCTAAGTCAGGTTATGCAATATCCATATGTGAATTTTATACTGTATGGGGCAAAGGGGAGACAGAGTAAAAGTGCCATTTGTCATTAGAATATGTGATATACTTCTAATTTTTTTAAAAAATAAGCTCTTAAATTGCACGTCTAAATTTGATACATGTGTATTAAATTGTGTTAAAACAAATTCATTGATTTCCCAGGATTGTATCTTGAAGCAATTGTTGAACATACTTGCTTATTTATGTTAGATTTATATTTTGCCTTTTCTTTACGAGCTCAAGGCAAGATGCATGGCACTGGATCCTTCCAATTTTTTTCTTAACCACTAAAAGATAACAACTAAGTTATTCAGTAAGATTTCTGAGGGAGTATGAACTTGAATCACTATCTACCCTGTGTTCAACCAGTACACTAAACACTGAAGAAACTTAATTTGGATCAAGAATTATTGACAGATGTAAGCTAGCATAGCCATGTAGTAGGAGAGTTGACCTCAAGTTGAGTGTATGTGTTGAACAATAGTAAAAAAATAATAATTTTTTTTCATAATATCTGACTTACAGAATAAAGCTGTAAAAACAGAGAAAAAGAAGAAAAATATACCAAGAGACTACAAAGAATGGGATAAGTATGTTAGATACCTTCTACTCATTACTTGGTATGGAGAGATGCCTTTATTCATCTGAATATAACTGTAAATAAAATGTCCTT